TATAATTATATAAAAACATAAAATTATTAAAATGTTATATATAATATAAATTTAAAATATATAATTTGTTTTTTTTACATGGAAACATGGAGGTCATTTTTGCCAATTCCTCATTTCCCAGCCCAGAAAGCTGAGGTCTAGACTAGAAGAAAGGAAGTGACTGGGCCACAGTCACTCAGTCAGTGCTGGAGAAATACTCCAAAGGCTTAAACGCTCCTCTCTCGGACTTTCAGTCCATAAAGTATCACCTAATCCTTTCAGGCTCTCACAGTTACAGGCTCCCTGCCCTGCCAAACGCGCTGATGGTTTTCAAGTAAGTAAAGGAGGTTCTTGTCCACAGTCGCAACCAACATTGTGGTAACTTGAGTCCGAGCTCGCAGTGCTCATCCATAGTGTACCCGTATCTGTGAATTTACAGATATTTCACAGTCCCTGGCGCCCCACAGGTTTTCACTACGTGCTAAGGAATGATGATGGTGAAAATAATAAGCCAAAGAGGAACCCCAGTGGTTTCCAGCCCTTCTGCTAGCATCTCCTTGTTGCTTCTCTAGAGACCTGTCTCTGTTCCTGCTGCTCCCTCTAGGCCCAGGAGGGATGGTTGGGCTGAAGAGGCTCAGCTCTCCCGCCCCAGGGGATCACACCCCATCCTCCTGCAAGGCCTCATCAAGAAACCACAAAACCTCTGCCTCCTGGTGAAAGGGCCTCTTCCCTCAGCATCCATCCCAATGTGACCGATTATGATACATCATTTCTCTTTTTATTATCAACAGCATGCAGAAACCTTAGGGCAACTAAATTCAGTATATTAAAGTATTGAATATATTTAAGTAATTCCTTATTTTGACAAAATTCTATCTGGAAATTTTCTCATTAAAGATGTTGCTAGAATTTAAAGGTTCTTTATTCCTGTGGCTGTCGGTATAAAAGATAGAACCAATCATTCACTCATCAACAAATATTGAGTCCTCACTGTGGCGTGCCAGACATTGGGCAAGTTGCAGGGAAGTGAGTAATGAATTGAGGCAGGAGTCTAAACTTTCTGGGGCTCACAAAGTCAGGATCTGGGCATATAGAGTTTCTTCCTCAGCCTCCCTGAAAACTTCCTTTTAGGGCCTCAGCCTAAGTAGAGACAGGCTGTTCACACCCCTACAAAGTACTCATTCAGTTTTCAAGTGGTTTTGGGAAGTCTTCAGTCTATTTTTTGGAAAGGTGGTCAGTCTTTCTACAGCTTCAACTCCCTAATCACAGATCTGCTCTCAAATTTACACTAATAAAATGTGGTCCTTTCCCTTTGAAATTATATAATTTCATCCTTGAATTATATAAAGGTTAATCTAAGCACCCACCATATCTTTCATAGACTTCAGTGTTCCCTTTAAAATAATTTGTAGCCATTCACCATGATGGCTGACTTCTTCCAATGTTCTCCAGTTTATTAAATGACTGAATCCAGTATTCTAGGTATGATCAGATAAGAATAGTGTGGTGGGACTATAACCTCATTTGATCTGAACATTATACCTCTATTAAATGGATCCAAAATTACATTAGCTGTTTTGGCCAACACTTTGTATTATTAACACATTTAACAAATGCAGTCTGTGACATCCATACTTTCTCTTCCCCACTTTGTTCATTTGAAAATACTTGAACTAGGCCTTTACTATCCTATACTATGCACCCCATTTGTTAGCTCCTAAATAAAAGTTGTTATATTTATCCCCACCAATACCATCCTATGGACTTAAGCACTTCATTCCAGGTATAGAAGCAGCCCTTTGAGTCCTGAGTGTGCCATTCACCAGGTTTGCACCATTCTCACATTTGGTGAGTTTGCTGGCAAGTTAGCAAATTAGATGGTGATCTCAACAATTCCAAGACGAGTCTCTAGAAGCCCCTGACCTATCAGTCAACATCATTGGCACGGGCATTCTGTCCCCTACAAATTCACTTTATCAAATGCCTTGCTGAAACGCAGATACATTGTGGCTACATCTGTCTAATCTACATCTCTCTAATCTGGCTTGTTTAGTAATTTGGGTTTGGAAGAGTCAGATGGGCAAGGCTTTTCATTTTTTGATGAGTTTCGTGACTTCTGGGAGTTACTCTTTCACCTATAAAGTAGGGATAATTATACATACCCATAGGGTGATTGTGAGAAAGAGAAATAGTATATATAAGATGCTTACGGCATGGTAGCATTCAATAAATTGTAACAATTGCTGTTAGCTCCTAACAAAAGAAAACACCTTAGTCTGGAATAATATTGTTTTCAGCAGTCCTTAACACAGTAATCACAGCTTCTCGCTGTACACACAATCAATCTGTTGACCAACTCATTCAAAATGTTGGGGAAGATCAACATTAAGCTCCTGATAGTTTTTTTATTTTTCTCTTCCTCCCTCTCCCTTCTTTCTTTCCTTCCTTCCTTCCTTCCTTCCTTCCTTCCTTCCTTCCTTCTTTATTTTGGGAGGGGAGGCAGAGAATATTTGCCTATACTAGCTCTTTTCTACTGTCTCATTTTTCACAGTTCCTCAAAACTTTTAGTGGTTTCCTCCATAAATTCTCGCAGCAGCAGGGCCAAAATTTGTCAAGAGACTTGAACTTGGGACAGGTAGCCTCTTCCTCTCTACCTGACCTGTTTGAGGCTTTCCTTCCTTCTCAGCCACATTTCTTAAAAGCTTTTCTGCCAAAGCTTTAACCAAAAAAGTTTAAACCAAAATTAAGCTGGAGTAATGCTGATCCCATCTCTCATTCCCAACCTTATATGACTCCCAACCTTGGGGAAACAAGAACGAGACGCAGAAAGTATCTCTACTTTGTCCGTGTCTAAGGGTGTGTGTGGGATTCATGACCGGGGGTGACCCAGGACCACTGCCAGAAGCAGCAGGTCTCTCGGCCCATTTGGCCGAGTCTGCACATAAGCCAAATTTATCCACTTGTGTTCTTTATTGGTTAGTCTGGAAAAGTTGAGGCACCTGCCGTATCTTTGTGAGTTTAAAGTCAGATCTTGAATAGCTGAAGTATTTGGTTGTTTAGATTTCCCACGGTTCTTTGGATTGAGCTTTTGAGTACCGAGACTAGAACTACTGGTTCCCTGACATTTACAAGGCTGCATTGTTAGATATGCACATAGAATAGTCTTGAGCTCTATCTAATTTGATAATGCTTGGTTCTGTATGAACACACATTTGCTGAGCATCTATTATTATGCCAAGCTCTGGTCTAGGACTCTGCTGGCTGAACAGACATCCCTGCCCTTAGGGTATTTACGGTCTGGTAAAGAAGAGGTGTATTAAACCAGCAGTTACACAAGTAATTGTATATAAAGTAAAGGAAACCATATGTAAATTGCAATAAATGAAATGAAAGCAAAGGGGAGAGTGCTAGGAGGAGAAGTAACCAGGGTCGTTTAGAGATCATGGGGTCAGGGAAGGTTTTCCTAAAGAACTGAAATTTAAAGCTATACCTAAAATGTGAGTAGAACTTACCCAGCCAAAAAATTAGGAGAAAGGCAGCTTAGGCAGAAAAATTAGAATGTGGGAATGGGCAGGAGGGCCATGTTGGAGGTCAGGGAAAAAGAGAGAAAGGCCAAGAGGAGAGATCGGACAGACAGACGGGGTCAGATAGCACAGAGCAAAAAAAATACAGCTAAAGTACTTAGAACAAATAATAGAGTTCCCCACTATTGCAGTGATGTCCCATCAGGCCAGCTTTAGAGGCCGGGACAGTCATAAGTCCATAAGTGGTTCACTATTACAATTCATGGTTAAATAGTGTGTATCTGTTCTGTTCTATTATCTGGATTGTAGACTCCATGCACACATCTGAATTATTCATTGCTAGGTCCTTTGCCCCTGGCCACAGAGTAGGTCTTCAATAAGAATTTATTGAATAAATGAAAGTTTTCTTGAAGCTAATGAAGGAAATTCCATATATTTCTTCATAATACCCAAAAAAGGTATCTTAAACTACCCAACAGTTCAGGAATTTTATAAAACTGTGACGTCCCAAAAGAACCAGAAGCTAGAATGAAAGAGATCTTCCCAAAACAGAGTCTGCAGGGTAAATCATCTGCATTTGTGTAGGTTACGTCTTTTTAAAAATAGTTATTCCTGTAGGTGTAATGGCTAGAAGGATGGGAAGAATTTATGATGCATAACCAATTTTGTTAATGTCTTTATAGGGAAGACATTTTTATATTGTGAGCCACATAAGAGAATTAAGGAAGTACTGGAAGAAGAACTTTATATTAAGAGAGATGAATGCCGCATTAAAAATCCACCTGCAGGTAATCTCAGTGACAAATGAAGTGTATTTGTGAAATGGGTATGAAATTGCCTATTTGATGGCACAATGGTTATTTATTGCAAAGCCATAACTATCAAAAGAAAAACGGGTCTTTGGGGAAATTATTGAGCTAATTGTATAATTATTTTCCTATATCCAAACAAGCTGTTATATTTAGAAAAAATAAGCTAGGTATCAGTGTCTATATTGCTGTCCCACATTTTAAAAGTTATTTCTATTTAATGACAAGTGGGTTTTTCCCCCCAACTGCCTGAACAGCACAATAACATCTTCAATCTTTATCAATATAGTTATGACCAATAACAGTGGTTCCCAGAGTTTAGATTTCATTAGAATTACCTAGGAGCCTATTAAAAGTGTATTGCTGGGAACTGGCTGTAGGTGTGGGGTGGGGTTCAAGAATTTACATTTCTATCAAGTTCCCAGGTGATGATGCTGCAGGTCCAGGGGCCCCACTTTGCAAATCACTGGCCCAGAAGAATCTAAGTCATTAAATAAGCCAATGCATCCAAGGATTTTATTGCACATACACGGAGTGTATGAATTATATACACTATTGATAGCTTTCACTGATGGTTCGTTTGGGAAAAGACATGCCCTAAAATCCTCAGAATTTCTCACAGATGTTATTTTGAAACTGCTGGAGCCCCTCATTTTCACGGTTCTTTCTCAATGATTACTAGGTGCATACTTCATGCTCTTCAAATCATCAGGTTTTTATTGCAATTCTATTGGGTACCAGCACTGCTGGAAGAAATAAAAGAATTGAAAACATGACTTCTAACTCAGAGAACTTGACATTTTCTGAGGAGGATTGTTGGACAGCCAGCAGATAAGGCCCAAATTCTCTAAATATTCCCTAAAAGCAGACGCTGCAGGTCCCGAGGTGCATCGTTTCAGACTCCGTGACATATTTTCCCCCTTTATATTGCAAAACCAGCCAGAGAAACTCCTTTTCAGGCCTCCTGTATCACACGATTCTTACAGAAGGAGAGACCAAAATGGGCAATTTTGTTCATGTGGTATCTGGAAGGAGAGTTTAAAGACTAGTTTGAACTCTATGAATGCATGGAGATTGACCACTGAACTGTGTCTCTGAAACCCAGAATACATGTACCATTTCCCTGGTGGTAAAAACAAAACAAAACAAAACATTTTTAAGTCTATACTATTATATTTGGGATTTACTTTCATTTATGCAAATTTATAATGTATATACTACTTGGATTTTGTACTGTTCTCACTGTATACATTTGATTATAAGACAGGCTAAGTGAATAGGAAAGATCATTTGGTTTATAAAAATTGATTTCTTTAAGCAGTCTTCAAATATGTTCATATAAAACAGAATGCTTGGGCTGCAATTGGGGGGCTCATTTTTATAACATCCACTAGAGGTCGCACAGAGGTGCTATTTTAGCCTAGAAAACTTTCAAAGCTGAGACTACATTCTTTAAGGTTAAGTTTTAAAGGGATTCTACTTATGGAAAACAGGAACTGCTAATTTTTTTTTTTCTTCTTTTTTAAATGGCTGGAAGCCTCATGTTTTCGGCCACAACAGGGAACTAGCACCTAGAGAAGGTGCCACGCTCTTCCAGCTTAGCCTGAGTGTTGGCAGCTCTGGGCCAACCACTGGACCTTCTAGTGCAGGGTTACAGAGACACAGCCTTTAAGTACATGAAGAAAGACATGGCTTCTCTTCCTGGAAAACACACCTTGTAACCTACACCCAGAATTTTGTATAAAACTTTTAGGCATTGTGTGGCTCCTATACATGTTAAGAGTTAGTACACTTGCCCAGCCAGGCGTGGCTCAGTGGTTGAGCATCGGCCTAGGATCCAGGAGATTGAGGTTCGATTCCCAGTCAGGGCACATGCCCGGGTTGTGGGCTTGATCCCCAGTCGGGGGCGTGCAGGAGGCAGCCCATCAATGACAACTCTCTCATCATTGATGTTTCAACTCTCCCTCCCTCTCCCTTCCTCTCTCTCTGAAATCAATAAAAATATATGTAAAAAAAAAAAAAAAAAGAGTTAGTACACTTGACCCCTGGTCTCCACTTCTTTACTTATCCTTTGTTCCTTCACCCATTCCCATTAGGCTTTTGCTTCCATGAATCCAGGGAAGCTGTTCTTTTCCAGTTTGCTAATGTCTTTCCTCTTGAAGGTCAAATCTAATAATCCTGAAGGTCAGATACAATCTACATACTCATCAAATTCAACTTCTCTATAGCATTTGACAGTTGTTTACTCTGTCCCTGTTAAAACACTTTCTCAACTTAGCCTCCAGGTCCCCATCCTCCATTTTCCTAGTTTTGCTTCTACCACTTCGGAGAATTTTTGTTCTAAACTTTGGAGAATTCGGTCACAGGCCCTTTTCTCTGTCTACACTCACTCCTTGGGTGGTCATACATATCTAGCCATATTGTACTCCAAGACTGATCTCTCTAGCCATGCACCAAGAGGTCACTGGTTGGTTGGAGGTTGTCAGCTAGCCAATCGATGTTTCTCTCTCAAATCAATGTTTCTCTCTCTCTCTCCCTCTCCCTTCCTCTCTCTCCAAAAAATCAGTTTAAAAAGCCCTAGTCAGTTTATGTCAGTGGTTAGAGTGGTGGCCCTAGGACTGAAGGGTCTTGGGTTCAATTTCAGTCAAGGGCACATACCTCAGTTGCAGGTTCAATCCCTGGCCCGGGTGCATGTGGGAGGCAACCAATAGATGTGTCTCTCTCACATAGATATTTCTCTCTCTCTCCTCTTACCCCTTCCACTCTCTCTGAAAAGCAATGGAAAAAATATCCTTGAGTGAGGATTAAAATAAAAAAAGATTTTTTAAAAAATCAATAAAAACACATTTTAAAAAAATGCAGTTTTCTGATCAGATCTCCTGTTGGATGAAAATGGAATTTGGGGCAACTTATGGAACTTTCTGGATAAATAAGAATTTAGCAAACATCATCATTCACATATTCTTAGTGATTCCCTAGAGATTTCCCTCTCACAACTTTTTTAAAAGAAGAGGTAAGCTTGTGAGGCATGCATCGTGGAATGATTTATCTTAAAATGATTTCTAAGAACTTCTACAGAGGACTTTGCAGAAGTAAACGAATGTTCTAATTTAATGTTTTCTCATTGCAAGGGCTTTTGGATTTTCCTGGCTAAGAGCTGCAGAACTTTAGTAGTCGTGATAAATTTGATTAATGAAGCTTACTACTTTTCTCTTCTGCGACATTTCCTTTCCCAGTGACTTTCAGTAGTGTCCTGCCAAATCCATTCATTTGTGTCTCTATGTGCCTTAGTACACGGAAACTTAATTTCGAGTCTGGTTTATTTATCATGTTTAGTACCAACTCAGAAAATGTAAAATGTTGCTCAGTGAGAGTGGATATGTTTGTTATTCACTAATTCATTCAACAAAAATGTTTTGTATACCTACAATATGCAGGGAATTTACTAGACACCAAAGGCATGTCAAGATAATTACAGAGCCTAGAAGCCAGCAAACATAAATTTAAATCACTTACGTTTTTCTTCCTCTGGTAGGATCTGAGCACATTTACACAACAGAGGCCTAGGCGATACGGCTCGAAACTGGCTTTTCACGCTCTGATGTTCATGCACTTGTCCAGAAACAGCCGAAGGGAAACACAAACATTTTTAAAGGACGAGCTTACCTGTCCTGAAAGGCCAGGCCAGGCCCCACTGGCTACACTTTCCAGCATAAAGGCATGGTTTAGGAAGTTTAAAATTCAGAATAAAAACACACCTAGGCCCTGGCCGTGTGGCTCAGTTGGCTGGAGCACCGTCCTGTACACCAAAAGGTTACGGGTTCAATTCCCAGTCAGGGCATGTACCTGGGTTGTGGGTTCGATTTGCGGTCCAGGCGCATGTTGGATGCAACCGATTGATCTCTCTCTCTCTCTCTCTTTCTCTCTCCCTCTCTGTCTCAAATCAATAAACACATCCTCCAGTGAAGATTTAAAAAAAAACACACCTCTAAAGGTCTCTGAGTAGAAAGGGCTGGGGACATGAGAGGGGGAGAAACAAGAAGAATGTCTAGAAGATTCTGAGCTTCGAGAAAGGGCTTAATGCCTTTGTCTCGGCTCCTCTCTTGTGCCTGCTCCCCTTTCCCCTTTGGGGTTCAGCTGCCCACACAGGTCTCCGTGGCCCTCTCCCCTCTGTCCCCCTTCCTCCTGGAGTGCGCAGGCCGAGCTGAGGGAGCTGGATTTCTCCTTGAAGAAGCAGCTGCTTCAGGGGACATTCGCACTTCTTTCCAGACGCCCCATTTTCCCCAGTTGAAGATGCGGTCTTTCCTAACTTACTCACCCAAACATCACATCAGATCAAAGCAGTGCTATTTTTTCCAGCAGCCTCTAACCTTGAGTGCAGTAAATACTTATGCATAACTATATTATCATTTTAGGGTCCCCCCCCATGCATTTCTGAGCATCTGCATTTACATTTCAGGTATTTATCCTATTAAAGTTGTAAACTTCCAGCTGTGCCTGTGATTGCCTCCGAAAGACCACAACTAAATTAGACTAGTCCAGTTCTACATAGTCCTGCCTCCCGGTTTTAAACTGCGTGCCGTTTACCAGACCTTCCCACGGTGCAGAACAAATCTAACCCTGCTTCCGTGGTCTATCACAGGACGCTTTGCACAGGGAGTATTTAATAAATGTTTGTGGACTCCTAAATCTGAGAGTCTATTGCCCAGAGGCTGGGGAGCAGCCTTTTTCTGTCTCTAGATGGGATGGGAAAGGAGGAATCTGGTTTGAATGGTGGGGGAAGATTTAGGTTAGATATAAGGAACAACTTAAACCTTGTAAGTCTTGACAGAAGGAGACTGTGGAGTTTTCCTTGAAGGTCTTTGACGAAGGAAGAAACTAATCTTGACAGATAGCTTCAGCCGCTCTATTCAGGAGAGGGAAGGAGAGGCAAGTATTGACATTCAGCTCGGAGAACCAGCTCAGTAACTGTGCCTCCAGAAGTGGAATCCAAGTTCATGCTTGCACAGGAAAATCACTGCCCCTTTCCTAATAAGAGCTTCTATTTATTAAGTGCAAAGCTCATTTTATTCATTTCATCCAAATCCTATAATAATCCTTCAAGGTAGATAGTATCATCCCCATTTCATAGATGGGAAAACTGAGACATGCTGGGTTAAATAACTTGCCCAGAGTCATACAATTGGCAGGCGGTGGAGCAGAGACTGAAACCCAGGTCTCCGCCGGATTTAGAGGCCGTGCCCTTAATCATCACAAGGTAGGAAATCCTTTAGGGAGGGATCCGATGTCAGTGTGGATGCCAGTGGGCAACCTTGGATCTGTGGGAAATACTTGTCATCGAAATTTGCAGCTTCCTAAATGGCAAAAACAACTTACTGCACTAACCTGAATTCACTGCCTTACTTGACTTGGGTCACGGATTTCTACACAGTAGATTTTCACCAAATTTGAGTTGAAAGACTCTGAAAACTAACTAATTGACTTTAGGATATGGAGGAAAGCCCAGTGAAGATCATTACTAACCCAATACTTATTGAATGGTATCAGGATTTAAGCCTATTATCTGCCTTGTGCCAATGTACAGACTTCGCATTCCAAATATTTTGTTATAGTGTTTTCTAGTGAGTTTATGTTTCTTTGAAGGGGAGATTAAACAGCATCTAGTTTATGGCTTTTAGAAGATTATTGAGTCTATTGGATGAATTAATGTGGTAACTTTGGGTTATATTATTTTTAGAAATATTTGCACTTCCAGGAATTAATTCAGAACCAGACAAGGTTGACTGAAGGAAGTCTATATATGAACTGTTATTTATTCTTGATCTTTCTGTGTTATGTTATTTATATTCCCATATTGGCTTTTCATCTACTTCTTAAGGGTCAAATTAAATTATCTAATTAATCACTGTAGAGGTTTAATTGCATACAGAATAATTGAATGAATGAACTGGAATAAAATATTCAACAAATAACAGAAACCTTGGGTGGTTTAATTATTCAAGCCAAATAAACTGCCACCCAAATGACTGAAAAAATAATCACCGCGCAAATGCTTTAAAAATACTTTGTGCTAAAAGGAGAATAATATCACCATCTCACTTTTGAAAATATTCACAGTGGCCCTGGAAGGGATTTGGAGCATTAAAAGGAATCTCCCCTTGAAGCCAGCACTGCCCAGCAGAAACACTTTACTGCCACAAGCCAAGTACTACTCGAGGCACGGAGGCCTGAGAAGTAAGGTCCCCACGCCCCTGACTCCACCAGGGCCCTGAGGGTGCTGAACTGCTTTAGTCCAAGTTCTCAATCAAAATTCAGTCTTCTTTTGCTTTGCTTCCCTCGGGTTACTTTTAGTTTAGCCACATTGCCTCGTTGTGGAATTTAAACAGTAACAGCTCCGCTAACCAGTTTACCCCAGGGATGCAACAGAAGTTCATACTCTGTTACGCTCCTGACTCCTTTGCTTTTCATAGGCATGTGAGAGACTTTGTAGCACACGGCCAGCCTCAGTGAGGAGGAATCTTGCTTCCAGATGGATGATCTTCGTTCACCAGTGGAAATGGGCAAAGGGAGATGAGGGGAGTAGGAAGAATTGCTTGGCGCCCTTGGTTTCATCCTATTTTACCTAAGAGGCCCCCGGCTGGGTGCAGTGTACTGTTCCTCGGGGACATAGAGTTGGGGACAAAATATTCTTCTTTCCTCACTGTCACAGCCAGGGTCTGCCAGCAACATTTGTGGCAGGATGTGGAAAAGGCAGGTGTCTTTTGTGGAAGCACAAGCAGTGTCCGGATAGTCTAGGGACATGAAGTTGGGTATACAAATCCTAAAGATAGCTCTCCAATTAGGAGGTTACCCCAGGGTGAGAAGTGGGTAAGTGCCAAGCTTGGGGTTACTCAAGTAGCAAATGCTGTATAGCCCTTAGGATTCTAGATCCTTCGTATATATTAATCTTTTTCATCTTTACAATAATCACAGGAAGTAGGTACAATTCATTTCACAGATGAGGAAACTGAGGCACAGAGAGGTTGAATAATTTATAAGAGTCACTCAACTAGTAAGTGGAAGCGCTAAGATTTGAACTCAGGCAGCCAGTCTCCAGTGGCTTTTTTTTTTTTTTTTTTTTTTTGACCCTCACCTGAAGATATTTTTTCCACTGCTTTTTAGAGAGAGTGGAAGGGGGGGGGGGAGAGCGAGAGAGATATGTTGATCGGTTGCCTCTTGCACGCACACTGACCAGGGCAGGGGATGAGCCTGCAACCGAGGTACGTGCCCTTGGTCGGAATCAAACCCGGGACCCTTCAGTCCACGGATTGACGCTCTTACCGCTGAGCCAAACTGGCTAGGGCTCCAGTGGCTTTTAACCACTAGGCCCTACTGTCTCTTTGAGACAAACAGTGACCAAGTTCTGGGTGTCTGTTGAACCTGGACTAGAGTGAGAGATCAGCATATGTGCCACAAAGGACAAAAGTCCCCAGGGAGACAGCCTCGGTAATATGAATTCAGTAGAAAGAAAATATAGCCACTAAGAGACTAAGACACAAGTTAATATAAACAAACAGAAACACTTGTTACTAAAGGAGATTCATGGAGCAGAAAGGAGCCAGTATGGAGACCTGGGTTTAGTAAAAAGTAGCCTCTGTTTACCATGTTCCAGGCATGGCAGTGGATGTCTTACATAGTTCTGTAACCCACATGATCGCATGAGATGAGATGTTTAATCTCCATTTTCCAGGTGAGAGAACTGAGGCGTAGAGGCATTGCATTACCCAAGATCCCAGCTGGAGGCAGCTGGATCAGAATGACAAACTTTGTGCCCACCTGACTTCCGAGTCAATACTCTTAATCACTGAGCCACCATGGCAGAGAACCCAGTCTCTGGAAAACAAGGGTGGAACCAGTCATGATAATTAAACAGGCACAATGCCAGGGCTATGGGATTGCAGGGTTAGGAATTCAGGAGGCAACGACACTCAAAATCCACAAAGATATCAGTGTCCTGAAATAATGGTTGATTCAACCCATTACTTGCCCATTGGGGGCTGTTGATGTCAACTTTCCATCCAATTCATCAGGTCCCACTTATAGCTGGTATATCCATCATTCAAGCAGACTTGTAACGCAATTTATTTTGAAGGTGAATGATTTTCTAAATGCCACGTTAAAAGACTGGTTTGAAGAATAAATTACCTTCATTTGAAGGCATAAAATAGATTACCCAGTTCCTCAACTGGGAACATATGATTTTAAAATGTTTCCTTTTTTGCATTACTTCCATCGATACAATTTAAGAGAGGCTTGTTCCTGGCTCCTGCCCATTGTTACTTGCTCACCTACACTGCCTCCCTAGCAGCCCCAGCCCTCTGTCCACAGCCGTGCCAAGCCCTTACAGTGATCATGTCACCCTATGTAACTGTTACTGTTACCTACCTTAGCTTCACAGCAGCAGGCTGCCAGCTGGCTTTGGCCATAGGAACTGCTACTACTATCTGCTGTACAAATCACAACTGATTGGTCTATATGCATCAGACCTGTAACTAAGAATTAGACATTTTTCATTGTCCATGTAAAAAGGTAGGTGCAAGGCGCAGAAATACCATGGATGAACAAAATCTGCAGATAATTTTCAAAAACTGATCAGTAGTGATTCATACACTACCAGAAGCTCCATGAGGCAGGAACTATGTCTCTTTCGCTCACTGCCGTGTATCTAGAACTTAGCACCGAGCTTGGTAGAGTAACTGCTCAACCACGTTTTGTTACAGGAATGACCAATGAATCATGAACATACTACATGTTCAGATGTTCTTGCTGCTAACTCACAGGCCTCCCCCTCCACAAAAGTATATGGTTTTCTACCACGTGTGAGACTGCTAAATTAAACAGGATGCAGATAATAGAGGGAAAACCCAGGAAACCTATTGACTTTAGTGTGTGAACCATGAAAAGTTTCACATATCTTACATACGCCTTGGAACTGACGCTTTCAAAGAGGGGTTTTCCATGGATTACAGTATTTCCAGGAACTTCTCCTGCAAAGGGTACTTCATTGAGATAGTCCAGCCAATGCTCACTCTTCATCTTTTTTATTCACTTGTGCTTCTTTCCTCTCTCCCATGAACAACACGATCGTTGCAGCTGTGGCTTTTCCAACATTTGCTGCGCATCATTTAAAACTGAAATTCAGGACTCTGACCATCCAGTTGTAGTTCTAAAATACATTTCTGCTAGAGACTGCAAATGGAGATTTCACTCTCATCACCCTAGCAAGTTCCGTTCATTTTCTTTGGTCCACTGCCTTGTTCTGTGGCCTGTGAAAGCAACAGCAGCCCGTCGTCTGGCCCAGCGCTGCCCAAGCTTTAATGAGCCCGCAGATCACGCGAAGCTCTGATTAGAGTTCAGATCCGGATACAGTGGGTCCGGCCTGGGGCCTGAGGTTGTGCATTTCTAAGGGGCCCCCGCCGGCGCCAGCCCTGCTTGTGGGGACCCCGCACTCTGAGTAGGGGGGCTCGGAGGGCTGAGGAGCTGTTTCTCCCAGTTCCTTGGCTCAGGCGGTTGTGGCTTTTACATTCTACTCTAGGAAATGAAGGACTGCTCGGAACAAATCAAGTTTATATTACAGTGGGGTTGGGATTAAAGGGCATTTCCGCAGAGTAAAAACTTACTTACTTCTTTACATATTTCTTTACTTTAGGATAAGAAGAATCGTTTTTTCCATTGAGAAGAAACCTCTCTCTCCTAATGTCTGTAAACAGAGAAGAAACCCAAGCTTTTTCACAGTTTAAGAAATGTAAAAAGTGTCTATAATTTGTATTATTGGTATTAATTCCTACCTATAAATTAATCCAAAGTAATGGCAGACTATTGGTAAAGCTTGCCAAGCACCTGAAAACAATGAAGGAAAATATACCTATTTTTAGTTGTCACAGTTGGAATACATCGGTCTTCTAATTCAGATTATTTTATTAAATATATAAAATATGATAAAACAAGGGCATATTTATTGTCTTCACTTCAAGGTAAACATTATAAACCTTAACTTTTCACTGGGGTATCACTATGTTCATCCATTAAAAAACAAAACGAACATTAATCCAGGTACAGGTACAGGTTAGTAAATGAATGACATAGGCGAAGAGTCTCTGACTCAGAGACAACCATTTTAATGCTGGCCTTGGTAGAGTTCTTCATTTTTCTAGAATTTGTCCACTGAATAGTAAGCAGCCAGGATGTTTATGGAGAGATCTAAAAAAAGAAAAGGAAAAAAAGAATTTTACTAATAGTACTGGGTTGAAGGAGACAGATCCAACCTTCTTCCCCAGCCACCTGCCACCCAGTTGTCAAAAGTGATATGTATGTAGTGTAGAAAAATTGGAAAATAAAAATATAGAAAAAAAATCTGTAATTCACTTCCCAGAAACAACCACTGATAGATAACATGTTGATACATTTTTATTCTTTTTTCCTATGCATATGTTTTAGTTTTCATGTTTGAAATCACATTGTACAGCATCTATATTTATTGTCCCCTTTTATTTATTTATTTTATTATTATTATTTTAATATCTTTCTTGATTTCAGAGAGAGGAAGGGAGAGGGAGAGAGAGACAGAAACATCAATGATGAGAGAGTCATTGATCGACCGCCCCCTGCACGCGCCCACTGAGGATCAAGCCCACAGCGCAGGCCTGTGCCCTGACTGGGAATTGAACCGAGATCTCCAGGATCCTAGGTCGATGCTCAACCACTGAGCCACGCCCGGCAGGGCTATTGTCCCCTTTTAAAAGTTTTTACTTATTGATTTTGGAGAGACAGGAAGGGAGAGAGAGAGAGAAACACTGACCCATTGTTCCATCCATCTATGCACTCACTGGTTAACTCTTGTATGTGACCTGCCCTGGGATTGAACCCGAAACCTTGGCATATGGAGACAATACTCTAACCAACTGAGGCACGCCAGGCCTGACTATTCTCCCTTTAACATAACATCATATAATTTCCCATTCATTAAAATTTAATTTAAAATAATTACATTAAAAATCTTCACATGGTTGTACTAAATGTTTGCACTTATTAATCTGTTTTTTGGACATTTGGTTTTTTTGGATTTTTCATTTTACATATAACTGTTGTGATTTACTTACCACAACCACTCCCCACCCTTTAAAAAGTTTTTTCCCTAGTATTCTGCTTACAACACACTTTTAATTCTCCTTCCTCTCTAGGCTAAGATCATCTTAAAAGTTCCTCCAGTTTACAGTTCTCAAGCCTATTTCTC